TCTATAGTCTATGCACATTCGAAAAGAGCCATCCTTATTGAAAAATAGAACGGGTGCTCCCCAAGGCGAGAAACTTGGTCTCATAAAACCCTTGTCAAGAAGTTGTTATAGTTGGATGGACTCCGATGGTTCCAATTTATAAGGAGACTTTCCTACTGGGGCATCTCTTGGAAGTAGATCCATTTGAAATTGTACTTGTCGAGTTGGCGGCATACCTGGTCGATCTTCAGGGAATACATGAAGGTAATCACACACTTGAGGTACTTCCTAGAACATTTTCTTCTTATTGTCTTTCCTATCGACAATATGATCTAAGAAGGAGACATACTTTTTCTACAATTATTTTCTGGCCTTCATTGTGAAAATCCCAATTTTCACGGCTAGAAAAGACCGATTTGTTTATGATTTGTTTAAAAATCAGAGTTATATTTTAAATAAAAGAGTTGTGGAATTTGTTTCCAAAACAAAAATGATAAAGATTTATCAAAGCATTTTTGTAGAAATGTATTTCATTAAAAGACTCGGGATGTCATGTTTGATACAGATCAAAAGCATAAATAGTACAACACAAGCCTTACGACATTATTTTGTATTTACAGGCCTATAATCCCTTATCTCTCAGCCAAACATCTATGCTCATGCACAACTACCTGTAATACAAGAAACTGAGTGGGTCAGGTTTGGGAGCATGGTGAGCACATAAGGTTTTCAACCCACAATAAATACGTTAATTAACTTTATTAAACCAAACAACCTAATTACCCATTCCCGTTTTCCTCACTTTACGTCCCTAAAGCATCTATCACAAGGGACCTAGTCTAATGAATTTCATCGGGATGGCAACACATGCTTCGGGGATTCCTCAGCAATTCATGTCAAATAAAGAAACTGTGTGGGGGATGGAGCACTGCTGGTGAGCATAGAGTTCAAATAAAAACCTACAGGTTGCGAGCCTGCTAGCATTCCACTAGAATGTCTACAATAGTCTGTGGTCATCATCTACACTCCGCTAGATGACTGGATCATCAATAACATCGATAACAAGGCCTCTCATTATTTTATTTGGTCACACAACAACTATTAAATCTACAAATGTTTTACCCAACATATTTTGTAGATATAAAATACGTATACAGTTTAAATCATTTAAAACGTGTATACAAATCTTTCAGCCCTTATAGACAGCAAGTATTCAGACAATATGCACAGATAACATGTAATTTATATTAAATACTTCATATCTATGTGTAAGATGAAAGTAACTATGTACTCACCTATTAAGGTGGTGATTCCGAACTTAGACAACGCTTCGTTACTCTTGAAACATTTTCCTTCGTCAAAATCTAGTATCATTACCACTAGGGTTTAGTCTTATCATTCACCGAGACTAATTAATAGTCTAGCTATTATTACTAGTATACAAGCATCAAACAATACTTATAGAGCCCATAATAATAGCCCAAGTACTTATTAAAATTTCCTAATAACGTTACTATGATTAAATAAAAGCTATATTAAAAGTAGCTTAGGTGTAGCTCACTTACAACGGGTTTTATAGAAAACCGTGCTTTGCTTGGAGCAACGTTTCCGAACTGTAAGACCCTTTTTCTTGGGACTCCAGGAGCCTCAAGGCTTCCTTCGGGTGCTAGGCGGTTTACCTAGGCTTAGGAGAGGGTTAGGGACCTTAGAGAGAGAAAGAAACTAGAGAGAGAGTGAATTTTGGGGTGAAGAGAATTCAGCATCGACATTCTATTTATAGCAGCTGATCCTCAAACTATGCTAGGCGTAATCTCGGATAAGATTGCTACGTGGCGAGTCGTCGATGGGGCCACGTGTTCACTTCTCGGACCTCACAAGACCGAAGTAGGCTGGGCGTACTCGGTTTCGAACGCGGGGTGTAATGCGAGGCGATGTGTCGCAATCCGAAGCAGGTATCGAGTTCAGCAATGGAAGGTCCAGATCGAGCCACGTCATCATCTCGCACCAGGTTTCACAATTTCCCTTTCCGACTTCTAAAAATCATAACTCTCGCATACGAGTTCCATTTTCTACGTTCTTTATATCCAAGCATAGGTGGGAACGTACTCTACAACTTTCATTTAGACTCCGTCGACGAATGTTGAATTAATTTTAAAAGTTATATTTTTAACAGGTCGGGACATGATTAGTCCGTTAAAAATTCATAACTTCTTCATCCGATGTTCGTTTTCATCTGACTTTTTATCGTTATGCTACTATAAATGAGATATTCGATTCTCCTTTAGGTTGTGTCGGCTAGCAACTGCTCGATCTAATATTCGAACTCCGGGCTGTACACTGCTAAGCTGAAACTTCGAAAAATCATAACTTCCTCATACGAAGTCAGATTTGGACATTCTTTTTATGGACGCTCTCAGTTTAACGTATTCTATGACTTGCATTTAGATCAATAAGGCTAAAAGTCGTTGTATCATAAATTCACTATTTATGCTTCCCGATGCCGTGTCGGTTTCGTCGCGAAACTTCGACGGGTCATAACTTCTTTGTTATAACTCGGATTTTGGCGTTATTTATATTCCCAAAATCCTTGATTCGACCACTACCTATGCAGTTTTACCGGTTCAAAATCAAATATCGGTCAAGGACCGGTATTCGATATATAGGTTATCGCGGTGGGATATCGATATTTTTATGTTATGTAGGGCCTTTGTAACCTTGTGTTTTATTGGATGAATACATGATCATTAAGTAAAATATATAGTAAATTAGAAAATCTTTGAAGCAAATGTTTATCAATATCATAAAGCCCTCACCATATATCTACATTTTAGCAATAAATGAAGTGACTTGATAAAAAAATTTAACTATAAATGCTATTTCACCGCTATTCCACCGATATTTGTCAAATATCAGTCAAATAGCGGTCAAATATCGGTCACTATCGCCGCTATTTGCGGTACCGCTATTTAGTACCACTATTTTACTAGCTAGCGATAACCGCTATCCCACCGCTATCTCATAGCTATCCCACTGCTATTTACTACATAGACCACTACAACTTTATGTAAAGATATTGGGCTTATCTCACACTTTTATTTTGACGCTTATTTTTATCCTTTATTTATTATACATTTATAAATAAGTAATAAGCACATAAATGCACATAATTCACATAATACTCAAATAATTCATCTTTATTACTTTAAAAGAGTTACAATAGTTGACCTAGATTATTACATCATCTACTACTGCTTAGCCCCGAAACACGGGCATTACATTCATGTAGGAGATGATCCTAATGTTTCTACTAGGTTTATCACCGTAGACAATTAAGGGTTCTTCTTTTGGTAGGGGTAGACATAATGCTTTCTTGATGTATAATACTTCGGCATGGTTAGAGGATAACCAATCCATATCGATGATGACGTCGAATCTTCCAATAACCATTAGCGTAAGGTCGAGGAGAAAACCATGATTATCTAATGTTAAGGTACAATACCTAAGTATATATTGAGTACTACCAACTTGGCCATTAGCCATTTCTACTCTATAGGCTTCCTTAAGTTTACTAGACGGGTGGTCTAACATTTTCCTAATTTGGGAGTAATATAGCTTCTATCACTTCTTGTATCAAAAATTATATTTTCATATAAATTATTGATTAGGAACATACCTGTAACTACTGTCAGATATTGGATAGTTATCTGGGCCCTACCACATATGCTCTACTCCTAGCATTACCTCCTTGTACATTCATTTTTGGAGAATCCTTCCTAATGTGTACCACTTCTTTACAATCATATCACCATCGACTCTCTGTTGTTGTGTTTCCTCGATTGGGTGGGATTTTGCATCTATTTTCAAGATGAAATTTGTTGCTGCAGTTGGTGTAAATCCAACATGCTTAATTGTGTCGAAACCTACACTCATTGCATCTTGGGCTAATTCTTGGTAGTACCTATCGATGTTGTTGTAAGCTTAAATGCATGAATCACTTTTGGTTTTCTGCCTTCCACCTTCGGAAGGTCAACCTTATGGACCATCATACCACGGAGAATCTCTTGATTGGTCAAACTAAAGGCTAGTCTCTTGGCCATGTCGAAGGTGGTTGGCTTTGAGGTAGTGACAAAACCTTGGATAGGCCGATGCAAACCCTAAATATACTTCTTTATCTTCTTATACTCTGGGGTAACCATCCCAGGACATAATGTGACAAGGACAATAAAATAGATGGTATAAGTGGCAACATTAGCTTCCTGCATTGTCATATTCCACAAATCCTGTTCCAGCTTCTACATCTCCTCGCGTGGGAAGTACTCCTTAATCATGAGCTTCTTTAACTCACTACAAGACACAGAATTTGCTACATTAATGTCCATGTTCTTCGTGTACCTGGTCCAACAGCATAGGGATGCATCTTCCTAGGTGCATGCGACAAGATTAACTTTACAGTCCTCCGGACAAAAGCTGATCTAAAAGATAGACCCTTTTTTTCTATCCACCTAGTCAAACAAACTACACATTCATTACCAGGGAAGGTTTTTTTTTTCTTAAAGTTCACACAAGCTTTATATGAATGGACCCACTTTAGACCTCAATTATCTCCTTACGAACTCTCACCTCCGTTTCCTCCCAATCCTACATTCCTAGGGGTTTCTAGGTTAGTTATTGCATCAGCGACGCAATGGACTATTAGTTCCCTAATAGTGCTTGAGCTCATGGACTCGAGATTGGGTTTATGTTGTCCTGTGTTTTTCCTGGTGCGAGGCATGATTATAAATTTATGGCATATGTTAGTTCTTATGATAAAGTTTGAGTTTTACTTTGATAATTTAGTTAACAGAGTTAACTATATCAAGAAAACGAATCAAACAAGTAATACAATATACAATAGTGTCACATAGTTTCCATTAACTTTCACAATTTACATCATATTTCCAAAAAGAGTGTACACTAATGTGGTTTGAATAGGAAAAGCATCTATTTTACAAGCAAAAGAGTTAGCAATTTCCTATTATACACTACACTACTTTTCCTTCCCTCAAACCCAAAAACATAGCTCCTAGCTTTCCTTGGCTAGAACTATCTACCACAAGACAAAACAAAATATCATCCAATTCGCTATCTGCATTAATTGGTGCTGAAGGGAACTGATCATAACCTCCATAGTGGTTGTACCTATCTCTGAAACCATCAATCTCAACTCCATCTCCCTCACTTTCTGCTCTAGACTCTCAATCATGACATGTTGATATTTCACTACATAATGGGTCTCCTCCAAATGATCGTATGTGTGGAGGATCCTCATCTCATCAATATCTCTCCCCTGCTCTAAATCTCTAACTTTACTAGCTAACAACCTGGTCTCCCTCCTTAACGAGTCGCAATCCTCCTCCACCTCATATATGCGATCCTCGTATCGTGCTACTCGCGGGACAAACACTCATATCACTCTATCTATGGGATCCTCTGGAATAGGATAGTGCTTAGGTGCTTGGGATGACTCTACGACATCATAAAACCCAATACTCTCCTGCTTGATCCACTCGTCCAGATGTGGATTCCATTTGTGGGTGGGGAAAGGATTCTTTGACGATCTCGGTGATGATAACGGTGACGTTGTCCTCTTGCTGGAAGAGATGCGAATGGACTTTATGTGGATAGTTATATTCTTGGGTACTGAATTATGAATATCGAGAGAGGGTGGAGGAAGTGGAGCAACCATCTCTGGGGATCACTCTGACATAGTAGGGTCCTCCTCCCGAGTCTCCTCATGATCCTGGTGGGAAGTAGAATTTGGGTACGGTGAACTAGTTGTGGATATTCGACCGAACTCTTCATCAGGATGATCCTGCTCCTCTCCATATTCATACGACTCATCATTAGCTGATATTGGGGGTAGGTGGTAGGGGTGTTGTCGGATCATAATCGCTCTCTTCCTCAGGCATACGTATGCTATGCCACTTGATCTTCTTTCAGGTAAGGATACGACACCCAGTCCCATATATCCTCCATATCGCTCCGATATCCTACATATGAAATAAACATGAAGATGTTTATGAGAAATGATAATATATATATATATATATATATATATATATATATAGACACACACACACACACACGCATATATATATATATATAGTGAGAGAGATAGAGAGAGAAAAAGAGAGCGAGAGAGAGAAAGAGAGAAGAGAGTAGATAGTGTCGTATCATATGTAACATTCCATATAGGGGTATGCCAGATACTTGTCTCTATTTCGGATATCATCAAGGCATGCCATTCTGTTATGTGTCAAATCCTCTTTGCACTAGGTATTAATATAAGGCTCTAGTCCTAATCTCTTAACTAAACGTACTAAATCATCAAGGGTTTAGATGGTTAACTATGTAATCCATTTTTAGGCGTATGCCACTCGGAACATAAAAAAAACTTAGTTGCGCTTTCTAGGTCTAGTTGTGGTACGAACACAGTAGTAGACTAACCTTAGGATCCGCTTTTGACCTAAAATCGTAAGTTATGATTTGAATGGCTAGTTTTTATAATATAAGGGTGTATTTATAAAAGTTTATATAACTCTTTATCTGATTAGTATTTAATTAGGTTATTTTATTATTTCTATGGTTTTCTACTTCAAGAGAACTAAGCAAGGATCGGCAAGATGAAAAGTGCCAGAGGGCAAGACCATTTTAACATATAGTAGTTCTAAAGTCTAGAAACCTAAGCGATAGTTCAAAGTAGTCACATCTCTCATAAGTAGTATATTCGTACAATAATTAATAATAATACTTTAATTACGTTTAAATATTTTAGAGTATATGCCCTATGTTATAGTCGTTGTTCCTAAGGAAATTCTAGTTCACTATAACCTGTAGCTCTGATACCAATCTGTGACACCCCAGGCCGGCGGCGGAATCGTTAGGTCGTGGGACGAAGGGATATTGGATCAAGGCACACACACACACACACACACATATATATATATATATATATATATATATATATATATATATATATATATATATAACACAAAAGTATATCACAAATGATAACTTTGTTTATTATAATTTATTTGGGATTACATTGCTTAAAAGTTCAAGAACACATTGTAAACATTACTAGAAATGAAAAACTGACGGAACTAAACCCAAGAAAGCTTCCTTGAAGACATCCTACTTGGCACAACTATCCTGCTCACTCATCACTCTGAGAATACATGAATTTTTGGAAATATCAACATAATGTTGGTGAGTACACAGGTTTTTATAGTTTTCTGCTTTATTTGGTTTTATTAAAATAATAATCATTTTTCTTTTTGAAAAACCATTCTTAAATTTTGTTTATCAACCCTAGCTTATTCTCTTTTTAGGATAATTTTACAATCCTAATTTACTATATTTGTAGGATAATTAACGATTCTTTCTAGTTATTTTTTAGGATATTTAATTAACCCTAATTTACTATCTTTTAGGATTATTTACTAATACTAAGATATTTTATCCACCGTTCTAAGATGTCCCTCTTGGTAGTCTGATCTCTAAAGTGGTTGTAATGTATTACCATGAGCCCATATAATTGACGTTGTTTTACTAGTGCTTACCACATCACAATGCTTCATCGGACTTCGAATAATGATTATTAAGAATATTGTCCTGTCGGGATTGTAGCTAACAATCGCGGGTGGGGTGATATCTCTTCCTAGACTACCAGGCATCATAAGTCTTACACATTATATTGTAGCTTACATCTAGGTATAGTATCTATAGCTACATTATTTAAAGGTTTAGCGCTTTATATAACGACTGTTATTTATTAATACAAATATATATTGATAAAGAAATTCGATAAATATGTATCCCCCCTCCCCCGGTAAAACATTTAAAATAGTGAAATAGGAATGTGAACTCACCTAGTCGCATGAGACTGTTGGTGTAGTGTTGAATCGGGCTCATGACTTCGGGGACCACTCCAAAGGTAGAAACTTCGAGAGATGCAGAGATAGTGTGAGAATGATGTGCAGAAGTGATCTGCACTACCTTCTATTTATAGTCATGGATTTGGGGTGCGCACGGCACAAATATTTGTGCGCATCTCTCGTGATTATTGTGGCACAATCCTTAGAAGGCTACATGTCACTTCCTTGATTGGACATGTCACTCACAATTTACTAGAATCAAGTGTCAGGTGCGCGATGCGCATTCGTGCGGACCTCGTGCGCACGAATACATTTTGTGAAAAACATAACTTCTTTGTGTGAGCTCTGATCTAAGCCCTCTTTATATCTATGTGATGATCTCAACGGGTACTACAACTCTCCTTTAGGTTGATTTAGTTAATTTTGACTTTCATTTTTGTGCCTAATTAATGGGGGTAAAAACAAATGATTTTACAAAAATCATATCCTTCCCATATGGATCCCGTTTTCGACACTGTTTGTTCTATAGTTTTATCCTAAGGAGTACTACAAATCTCCGTTTTGCAATTTCAGTCAAAACTCAACAAATCTCTAAGTACTACTTAACGTAATTAATTTAAATTATGCGGTTGATTTTATTTTTATAAAATCCATAACTCTTTCCTATGGAGTCAGATTTTTACGAATCTTATATCATTGGGATCATTTTAGCAAGTACTTTCCAAATTTGTTAACCAGCTTAGAAAATAGTACAACTTTTTTTACGCATATTTTTTACCCTCATAGTCATTTTAATAAATAAATGTAACAACACATTTTACTTTTATTATCTCAAAATCAAATATTATAATATTAAGCTATTACATCTGTTTTTCCTACTCTTTCTTAGTGGTGACCAGTGACGAAAATCTCGCGGTTGTCATAGAAGCCATGGTTGAGAAGCGAATAGCTGATGCTTTGGAAACAATTAAAAACAATTGGCACACAAACTATGGGATAGGAGCGAGAGCCAAAAGCTCCTAAGGAAACAATAAAAGCGCTCTAAGAGCATGCACTTTCAAGCACTTTATAAACTACAAGCCTAAAACCTTCTACGGGAATGAAGGAGTCATAGCCATCACAAGATACACCGAGAAGACTGAGTTTGTTTCAAAATCAGTTCTTGTGCTGAAGGATGCTAGGTGAAGTTTTCCACTTGCAATTTTGTGAATATGGTTATGTATTGGTGGAACAGCCACATCAAGACCATAGGCATCGCCAATGCTAATGACATATATTGGGAGAAACTTAAGCAGATGATCATCGAGGAATATTTTCCTCCCGAGAAAATGGAGCGATTTGAGAAATAGTTGTAGAACCTAACGATGAACATCGAAATCTCGACCTACACTAATAGGTTTAATGATCTCGTGACCCTTTTTCCACTCTTTGTGAAAACAAAGTACAAGAAGGTTGAAAGATACATATGGGGATTAGTTCAACCCATCCAAGGGCTGGTCACGACATCTCGACCAACGACGTATGACAGTGTCAAGAGTTTACCATACAACTTTATCAGCCAAGAGACATGACGAGGCACTTTGGTCCAAAGAGTTGGCCTCCCAAAGTTAGGAGACAAAAAGTGAAAATCTGGAAACGGGTTTAAGGGTAACTCTAAACACGGTCCAAGTAAAAAATACGAAACTTTCAGGGTATACACCATCTGTCCAGTTCCAGTACCGGATGCAACCCACTCACTTCAAGGACATTACACATGTAAACACCCAAAATACAACTTGTGCCACTTCCACCACTCCAGAAACTGCATGCACTGTAGCAGGTGCAATCAAAAGGGTGACACCATCAAGTACTGTAGAGAACTCGTGGCTATTTTGCTAGATAATCGAGTCTGTTTTGAGTGTGCGATTACTGGATGTATCAAGAGGAATTCCCGAAGTTGAGGAAAGATGGAGGAAAGGCTTGGGGAAGAGTGTTCGTGATTGGCGCACGGGATTCCATCCAGGACCCCACCGTTGTAACAAATAAATTTCCTGTAATTAGTTTATACGCATCTATAGTCTTTGATTTTGGTGCTAAAAGAAGCTTTATTAGACCAAAGTTTAGAGAACTTTTATACCATAAGTCTAGGAACCTAAATGATCCTTATATAGTAGAAATAGGCAAAGAAGAATCTGGTAGTAGGAAATACTCGCAAACTTCCTTCTAACTCTCAACAACCACACCTTTCATGTTTACCTCATGCCTATGATCATCGAAAGTTTCGATGCCATAATTGGCATGTATTGGTTATCGCCACATTGAGTCGAGAGAATAAGGAAGTACGATTAGCCTTACCCAATAGGGAATCCTTAGTGATATACAGAGATAAGCCAAGAAAAAACCTTAGAATTATCTCTTTCATGAAGGCGTAGAAAACCCTTCATAAGAAATATCATGCTTTCTTGGCCAACATCGGAGATAAGAGGGTTGAGAAGAAGGAAATCAAATACATACCCCAATTATATGATTTAACCAATGTACTTTTGTAGCACTTGTTTGGACTACCTCTAATTCACAAGGTTGAATTCCAAATTGATCTTTTTCCAGGTGGAACACCATTGGAATAATCTCCTTACTAATTATCCCCTTCGGAAATGCAAGAGCTGTTTGGACAACTTCAAGAGATTTTAGATAAGGGCTACATAATACCAAGCTTCTTACATTGGGGAGCCCCGATGCTATTCATCAAGAAGAAGGATGAAATCTTCATAATGTGTATCGATTATCGAGAGCTAAATAAACTGACGATCAAGAATAGATATCCATTGCCAATGATCAACGATCTATTCAATCAACTACAAGGATCCGGCTTCTACTAAAAAATTAATTTAAGGTCACGGTACAATCAACTTTGAATACAAGAGGAAGACATCCCAAAGATGACATTTAGGACTCGCTTTGGCTACTATGAGTTTCTAGTTATGCTTTTTGGTCTAACCAACAATCCAACAGTCTTCATGGACCTAATGTACCATGTTTGTAAACCTTACCTACATAAGTTTGTGATCGTATTTATCGATGACATATTGATATACTCACGAACATACGAAGAACACGGTCAGCATCTAGGAATTATTTTGAAGTTGTTAAGAAGAGAGAAATTGTACGAAAAATCCTCAAAGTGTGAATTTTGGATCAGAGATGTACATTTTCTAGGACGCATAGTTAGCAACAAGGGCATTCATGTGGACCCGTCTAAGATCAAGGCAATAAATTAATTGGGAAGCACCCACGACAACAACCGAGGTACGTCAATTTCTAGGATTGGCAGGCAACTATAGGAGATTTATATAGAATTTCTCAAAAGTGGCCAAAATTCTCACATCACT